TATATATATATATATATATATATATATATATATATATATATATATATATATATATATATATATATATATATATATTAGGGCTGTCAAATGATTAAAAAAATGTACGTAATTAATCACACTTTTTTAAAAATTAATCATGATTAATCACAAAGCGTAATTAATCATGATAAATCACGAAACGCCGTATTTATTACAGAAATAAAAGGAGAGACATAAAATGCCATTTGAATTTCAAAACAATCAAAGAAAATAACAAACAAAAGCGATTTCCATGTTGGATTCTAAGTGGACTACACACACAACATGCACACACAACGCGTCCAATACAGCGAACCCGGTGAGTGAGGGAGGGATCCCTTCAGATTCATCAACACGCACGATGGTGTTCATCAAATTTGCTTAAACTACACGCTCTAAAATATGGGTGTATTTTACAAGCAAGGATTCTGACACAGCAACGTGGAACTTATGAAATGTGAGGGCTCATGGACGCAGCTTAGAGAATAGGGCAGAGAATAGAGCTGTCTTTGACAGATGCGACTTCATCTGCCATTTTCAATAAATACATTTACATGGACACCATTACTCTGCTTTTATTATTAAGATAATACTGATTAAGAGTCTACCATGTAAACAGCGATTTTGTTTACCTTAAAGGATCACGCGAGTCCCGAAATGCTGAGGTTTTTCTTTCCGTTCGCCATGCAGTATCAAATTCCATTAAAACATCCTGAATGAAAATCTGCTGAATGAGAGTGAACTTCTGAACTGCAGTTGAAGTCTAAAAATTAAAAATGAAACACCCGAAATTCAATCCGTTCTGGATGAAACGCAGAATAGCCTGGTTATGCCACATTAATTGTTTTATACTGAAACTTTCCTTCTAAAAGCGCATCCTTGGTCTTCTTTCTTTGCACGTCAAACACGTGCAGGACCGGGGCAAGCTGAACGGACGCTCTAGGCAAACGGCAATCATGCCGCCCTCAGCCTGAAAATAAAAAAGAAAGTCACCTTTTTGCTAATGAAAGAGAGGATCGTGAGGGAGAGGGTGGGTGTAGCTGATGAAAGTGAAGACGTGGGGTTCGCTCACTATTCTGCTGCCCAAGGCACCCGCCTAGGTTGCCTCCATGCACGCACCGTTGCTAAACACACGTTTTCCACAAAAGGAAATAAAAAAACTGCAACTGCGTTATTTGCGTAATTTTTTTCACGCGTTAAATATTTCAAATGAATCATGTGTGTTGACAAGCTAATTTTGAAAAGCCCTAGTATATATATATATATATATATATATATATATATATATATATATATATATATATATATATAGAGAGAGAGAGAGAGAGAGAGAGAGAGAGAGAGAGAGATAAAGGTCTGAGGAACACCCTGAGCCGATACAGACTCAGCGGACACCAGCTGGCTATAGAGACGGGCCGGCACAGACAAACATGGCTCTCGGTGGAGGAGCGGCTGTGCCCACACTGCCCTCAGCAGCCGATTGAAACAGAACTGCACTTCCTTCGGAGTGCACAAAATACTCAGAGATATGGGAGAAGTTCTACCCGAAACTCACACACACACACACAAAAACTTTGAGTCCCTGTCAAACAATGAGAAACTGCCCATCCTACTGGGGGAGTGTGTGTGCTGCTGTGTGTTAGCAGCTCAGTTTGTGCACTCCGTTGTGCACTCCGCCACCGTCTGAGGAACCCACAATGATCCGCTCCACTGTCTCCAACACACAACACAGAAACTCTTTACTCGTGGACTTACTGTTTATATTATTGTCACCACTTTTAACCAGTTTCACAAATGACCATTAATCTATTTTTATTTTTATTAATATTTTTAGTTTTACTTATATATTGTTATTTTTATTAATCTATTTTTATTTGTTTACATTTCTTTTCTTTATTTCTATATTATATTTTATGTTCATATTTGTTTGCACTACTGCCCTTTTTGCACTGTCTTGTCTGTACGCAGCGACGCTGCACTGCTTTGGCAATACGAATGTACAGCTATTTGTCATGCCAATAAAGCACCTAAAATGTGAAAATGTGAAATGAGAGAGAGAGAGAGAGAGAGAGCAGAGAGAGAGAGAGAGAGAGAGAGTCTAAGTTTAATATAAAGTTTGTTAAACTTATCAATATAAAATGATCTCAAAACACTACCTGAGGTGTTCATATTAATGATTACGTGTGCAACATATCAGTCGATGTTTTGGCTGCGTCAGGTTAGATGAGGTAGAGTGTGACCTAAAATGCATGCAAATCTTGAGTCACGCAACAGTCTGCTTTGTGTTCTGATTGACATGGTTTTCACTGGGATTTTACTCTCGTGGAACCTGCATGAGAATGAGAAAACAATGGTGTCTGAGGCTCACGGTGTAGCCATTTCCATGTACTAAACTCTTATTATTCAACTAGAGGTATATTCAGATTTTCTTTATAGGGCATCTTTAAATATGGAGGGCTAATTTATCTTCTACTGCAAATTTAGATTTTTGTTTTTCTTGCTATTGATTTATTTTCTCATGCATTATTTTTATTTTATTGCAAATACACTGCCTCTCTTTCCTTCTCTACCACTGTCAGTGATATTAAAGTGCAGTGTTACGAATTAATGGTTTAATCTTGAGCATGAATCATGTGTGTATATAAATATCTATATTTCTGTACAGCATCAAGAGCCAAACTGGGCATGCTCAACACGGTGTCTAAAATCCGCGGGCAGGTGAAGACGACGGGTTATCCTCAGACTGAAGGGCTGTTAGGAGACTGTATGCTGCGGTATGGACGAGAGCTCGGGGAGGAGTCCGCTTTCGGTAGTGTCAAACACGCACACATGCTCAGACATGAGTTACAGAAACCCCGCTGCAGTATGCAGGAATGCTGGTCCATCTCTCCCCAGATCCTTCTCATAAGACTGGAAAGCTTGCTCATTGTGCATTGTGAAATGTGTTTCCTGTAAAAGGCCGTCCTTACAGCATTTGAACACCACTCTGACACCTTGTGGTGTTTTGTTGACATTAGATGCAGATGTGCATATTTTACATATTTTTATTATTATTTTCCATTGTTTATAAAACACAGAACACATTTTTTTTTCTGTTTAATATACATTTATCTGTTAAATAATCACGCTTTTTCTTTTTCCCTTGCACTCCATTTAACATGTGTTTATATTTATGTGTATAAGTGTTTGTTTGTGTGTGAAAAAGCCTCTAACCTGTTAATAAATATTGGTTAAATGCTTCATTATTTATAGCATTATATGGAGGTCCAGCTTTGCATCACTTGTTCTCCATCATGTTTTTAGGCACCGCGTTGGCAGACATTGGTGAAGCCATGAAACAGATGGCTGATATTAAAGACGCCCTCGATATCAGTGTGAAACAGAACTTCATCGACCCACTTCAGAATCTACAAGACAAAGACCTCAAAGAGATTGTGGTACGACACCGTTTCCTTATTCTGCATTTACACTCCAGTTTAAAGACAGAATTAATATAAGTTTTTGTGTTTAAAATCATTTACTTCAAGATAATGACTTCAGGTGTACCTGAAAAAACGGTGCTTAATTGCAGATGACGCCCCGTAATGGTGGCGGTTATGTTGACACAGGAAAAGTGCTTATTTTATTCTTCTTATTCCTACTGATTGAAAGCCTACTCAAGGCGTAACATTTTGGATGTTCTCTTTAAAGTGCTTAAGAAAGCAAAATTTTTTTTTTAGATGCTAGTATCAATGTGTTTTAAGCATATCGATAAGCTAATTTGCTTCAAAACAGTGACAAAATTAGCATTAAGAAGATAACAACATCCAAAGCTTGCAGTTTGTCGCTTCCACCTAAATGGATCAACAATTAAGTCGTCTGACTTATCAAACATTCTCTAGTATCTGACATGTTCCGCTCCATTTAAGATGCTATTGCTTTATGCACTTGAGCTCAATCACTCTTACTGGCAGAGCTGTGATAAAAGCTAAACGCTAGGGCTCTTTTCTGCATCGATATCCCAATGTGATCATTCGCAATAGTCACATCGCATGATATGCAATGTTGAATCTGTATTATAATTTATCATTTGCATGTTCTTTTGCAGGCCTGTGACCGTATAATGATTTTAAAAGCATTCAGGAATAATACATTTACTGTTTGTAAACTTTAATAATGAATAACTTTTATTTTTATTATTTAATTACCCTACCTGAATAATACTCTACATGGAAAACATTGAAATACTGTTTATTTCAATTGTATATTGTTTTCTATTGTATCCATCGATGCTTGTGGATTGTTTATTAGATTTTATGCTGATGCACTCCCTCTACAGCAGGGGTGTCAAAGTCGGTTCCTGGAGGGCCGGAGCCCTGCAGAGTTTAGTTCCAGCTCTGCTTCAACACACCTATCTGTAGGTATCAAACAAGCCTAACGCCCCATTCACACGGGGCTTCAGCGTCAACGCTTGACTGAAGGTGTGTCTGAAGTTGGGGCTAAAACGATCGCCATAGAAGCGTCAGCCAATGAAATTCAGTCAGCAATAGGCCACTGTCTAGCTGGTGTATTTCCATACAGCATTCTGATTGGCTGACGCTTCCGTCGGCGCTTGAAAAGTTGAGCTAGTCCCATTTTTGAAGCGAACAACATCTCTGAAGCGGCGCTGACGGATCCACAATGCAGTTCGGCAACACCTGACGTCGTTGATGCTGACGCCCCGTGTGAATGGGGCGTGAAGCACTCAATTAGTTGGATCAGGTGTGTTTAATTAGGGTTGGAACTAAACTGTGCAGAGCTGCGGCCCTCCAGGAACTGGCTTTGGCACCTGTGCTCCACAGAAGTAATCTAAAAAGATCTATTTTTTATAAATTGGTGAAATTGCATTCATATTGCAATATATATTTACAAAATATTGCAATGTTAGATTTTTCCAATATCGTGCAGCCCTACTAAACACTATTGGCTGTTTTTTGGGTGGGAGGTGCTACTATATCTCTCGACTTGTCTTCATGTTTCAATTAGTGATGGGTCATTCTTGAAAGATTTGTTCATTTTGACTTTGAAAAAAAAAAATCACAATCATGTGATTCGAGAACAATGACTCCTCTCAGGGAGAGATTCGTTCATTCATGCATAAGCACATTTGTGCAGGTGGGGTAGAAGATCAGTTCCTTTTCTATCCGTTCATTTCTTGAGTCTTCAGTTTGAGTCGTTCGTTCGTCACATGAAAGACAGAGGCCAATCAAATGCAGTCAAAGCCGGAAAAAATTTCATCCGTTAATTTCTTGAGTCCTTGGTTTAAGTCATTCGTTCATCGTGTGAAAGACAGAAGCCAAACATTTGTAGTCAAAGACGGAATATTATTTGATCCGTCTATTTCTTAAGTCCTCAGGTTTGAGTCGTTCGTTCATCGTGTGAAAGACAGAAACCAATCATATGCAGTCAAAGCTGGAAAAATTATTTGATCCGTTCATTTCTCGAGTCCTCGGTTTGTCGTACGTTTATCATGTGAAAGACAGAAGCCAGTCATATGTAGTCAAAGCTAGAAAAAGATTTGATCCATTCATTTCTTGATTCCTTGGTTTGAGTCGTTTGTTCATGTGAATGACAAAAGCCAACCATATGCAGTCAAAGTCAGAAAAAGATTTGATTCGTTCATTTCTCGAGTCCTCAGGTTTGAGGTGTTCATTCATCGTGTGAAAGACAGAAGTCAATCCTAAGCCAGAAAAAGATTTGCTCCGTTCATTTCTTGAGTCCTCGGTTTGAGTTGTTCGTTCATCATATGAAAGGCAAAAGCCAATCATATTCTGTTAGAGCTGGAAACAATTTGATCCGTTCATTTCTCAAGTCCTCAGGTTTGAGTCGTTTGTTTATCATGTGAAAGACAGAAGTCAATCATATATAGTCAAAGCCGGAAAAATATTTGATTCGTTCATTTCTCGAGTGTTCGGTTTGAGACGTTTGTTCATTGTATGAAAGACAGAAGCCAATCATTTGCAGTCAGAGCTGGAAAAAGATTTGTTTCTTTCATTACTCGAGTTCTCAGGTTTGAGTCATTCGTTCATTGCATGAAAGACAGAAGCCAATCAAATGTAGTCAAAGCCGGAAAAAGATTTGATCCATTCATCTCTCGAGTCCTCAGGTTTGAGACGTTGTTCATTGTGTGAAAGACAAGCCAATCATTTGCAGTCAGAGCTGGAAAAAGATTTGTTTCGTTCATTTCTTGAGTCCTCAGGTTTGAGTCGTTCATTCATCGTGTGAAAGACAGAAGCCAATCATATGTAGTCAAAGCTGGAAAAAGATTTGATCCTTTAATTTTTCCAGTGCTCGGTTTTAATCATTCATCTCTTTACGTGCTGTCGTAATGAACAAACGACTCAAAAACCCGAAGATTTGAATGGTGAACTAATCATAGCTCCTTTTGGCTCAGATTGTGTGCATTGGTTAAGCTTTTATGGGACTGTCTATCTCTCGTGAACAAACGACTCAATTTTGTAGACATGTCAGAAGAGGTGAGCTGAGCTAATCATAGACAAAAGCATTCTAGATATGGCTTGTTTGTAGTGTGATCAATGCTTGGGCTAGTTGTGGATGTGTTTGGAAGCAACTTGTAACATTTTAATAATATTACAGCAAATTGTACGAAATGACTCAAAGATTCGTTCATCTCACTGAACGAAACTCAAAGGGCTGAGTCTTCCTATCATTAGTTTTAGCCATGTCAGTCACATAGAACAAAACTGCACATTTCTAAGCACTTCACAGGAATTTAAAGCTTAATGATTAATAGCTCTTCTGATTAATTGATCAATATTGTTGTATGGTTAGCATTATCGGTCAGTAGATTATCTTTCTTGGCTGATTGCGTAATGTAAGAATGTCTTTGTGTGTTTCTCGACAGCATCATCTAAAGAAGCTGGAGGGTCGACGGTTAGACTTTGACTACAAGAAGAAGCGTCAGGGCAAGATTCCCGATGAGGAGATCAAACAGGCCGTGGAGAAGTTTGAGGAGTCCAAAGAGCTCGCCGAGAGGAGCATGTTCAACTTTCTGGAGAACGATGTAAGAGGCAGTTTATGAGGGGTCAAAACGATGCGATACAAGTATAATCCAGCTTTCTTTTTAGTTTAACTCAGTTTTATTGATGCATGTTAGTCAGAGAGGTACAGTATCATATATAAAGAATCTCAAGACATCAATTAATACAGCTTTTTTAATGTAAGTTTAACTGTGTTCTTCTTAATTAATCTTTTATTGGAATAAACTATCATATAGTACCATTTTTACCATGATGTACCTACATTCGCTAAAATGCCATTCAGTGTAGTACACTTTAAACAAATTAAGACTATGAGGGGTCCAAAACAATTCAATACAAGTATAATACTTTGTTTCAAAATCAAATCAAATTAAAACGAATCAAATTACTTTTTTGTCACATCAACAGCAGCATGTGTACTATGATGAGTGAAAAGCTTTGTTGCTGGCTCCAGACAGTGCACAATACAACAATATGCTCTAAGAAACAAAACAATATACAGTTAGCAATGTTAACAGTAATACATAAAAGACAATTAATACATGAAGGACAATAAATGCGTCAAGAAAAACACACATGTGGGCACAGATAGACAAGTACACAGTCAAAAAGGTGTACACGTAGTTTGACTGTTGCTGGAAAATATTGTAGGCAATATTGTTTTAGGTAAGGATTTGGTTAATTAGAATTCCTTACATTTATATAACGCTTTTCTAGACGCTCAAAGTGCTTTACACACATTTAGAGGACATTTACATATTGTGCCAGATCACACACCACACATCAACTGATTGATGGAGAGACGGCAGAGTGATGAAGCCAATTATGATATGGGGATTGTTAGGAGGCCATGATGGACAGGCCAGTGGGCAAAATTGTCTCTTTTCGAAGGAAACATTTGAAGAATTTTTAATGACCACAGAGAGTCAGGACCTAGGTTTATTGTCTCATCCGAAAAACGGCGCTCACTGAGCAGTATAGAGTCCCCTTCACTATACTGGGGCGTTAGGACCCACTCAGACCTCTGCTGTTTCCACTAACACCACTTCCAGCAGCAACCTAGCTTTCTAATGTGGTCTCCCATCCAGGTACTGACTGGGCGCAGCCCTAATTAGCTTCAGTGGGCGACCATGTGAGAGTTGCAGAGATCTAGCTGCTGGTTAAAGTGCATTAAAGTGCATGCTAAACCTTGATGGTATGCAGTGAGGGGTATGTAAATAAGTCTAACAGTTTTATTGATACATATTATTCAGAGAGTTACAGTATCAAATATAAATAATCAAAAGACATCAATTAATACAGCTTTTTTATTGACATTTTTTTATTGACAAAAAATAAGCAAATACACTTAATTTACATTGGAAATTGTCATATTTAATAAATATTTTGCCAAATGCTATATTTACAGTATTATTACTTCAACTGTATGTCTGTAAAGTGCTTACGAAATACATTAATCAATATTAATCTTGTCTATTTAATTTGTATAATAATTTTTTTTTTGTATTTTGTATTATTAACATTTCATATATATATATATATATATATATATATATATATATATATATATATATATATATATATATATATATATATATATATATATATATATATATAAATAAATATATAAATATATATAAATATAAATATATATATATATATATATATATATATATATATATATATATATATATATATATATATATATATATATATATATATATATATAAATATATATATATATATATATATATATA